ACACCCCTACACTGGAATGGACACATGCAAGCACTCGAAGAAGATTATTACTCACCATTAGTGAAGCTGTGTGGGGACGGTAGAGAATACAAGGAAGGAGTCTATACTGATAGGGTCCTAAAAAAAATGGATGGAACAGCCCAATGTTATGACCCCCAAAATCCATTTGCTGGAGGTAATTTGATGATCCCCAAAAGTGAGAGGATTGAGGGGGCAGGAATGTACAGCATCAGACCTGGATAATGGAGATGTTTGTGGTCAGAATGAAAACTTTGTAGATGAAGGCTGTTGCATCAATTCAGGTGGAATGATCAAGAACTTTCACCTCTCCATTCTGGATTTCTTTTTAGGTGGCTCTAGCACCCTATGGTAGAGATGGGAAACTGAGCTGTCTGAAACCAAACTAAATTTCCCTGTTTACAGGCCTGTATACGCCCAACAACCAAAGGGTGGCCCTATACTCCTTCAACAAATGCAGGAAATCATTGCGGACTTGACTAAGTTAAGACCACCACGGGGGAGGTCCTCTAGAGTGTTCTGGACTTCATGTGGAAATCCTGAAGACGGCAGCCACAACACTGGACACAGAACTACAGCTGTGAAGACAGAGTGGGCTGCTGCTGTGTGGAAGAATCAAGAGAAAAGTTCCCAAAGATGTCCTTGCAAGAAATTTTCCCTCTGTGATGAGAGCCTGAAGATGTTCCCTCTGCTCTTGCAGGAGATGTTCAATAGGGAATTAAATTTTGAATAGTTAATGTCTTTATGTTTTGTCAAAATCACCTGGCAATTAGCAATTTTGCATTGCAGGGTGGCAGACAACTAACTTTTGCAACCAAAGTCTTTGCACTTTTGGTCTTTATCATTTGGGACTGTGGATTCATTACTGAATCCACAACTAAGGAGTTTGGGGCAGAATGGGAAGATAGTCTGAACCACTAGCCATAACGTAGTACTGTGTCTGCTCTCTCAGCTGTTCAGGGAGCCAGTAGCGGGGGGTCTGCCAAATTGTCTTGGCGGGATCTAACAAAACTTGGTTTACCGGAAGGGCTACTTGTGTTGAAGATGGTGTGTGAAGAACATCCAGCAATTTGTGCTGAGTTTCCTGTAATCCTTCTAATGGGATATGAAGAGCATCTGCTACTCTTTGTATCAACTCCTGAAATTATTTCTAGTCATCTATGGAACAGAGAAGGCATAACAACTTCATCTCGGGAGGATGATGAAATAATAGTCTCTGGGGTTGCCTCTTTATCAGCTCTCCTTTCTTGATCCTCAACCTTCTCCTCCAGTGGTGTAGATTGTTGTGGGGGAACGGAGGGAATTGATTGAGTGCTGACACTGGCATTCCCTGCGACCCTGGAGAACTGTTGGTGATAAACAGCCCAAGGGTACTAATATGGCCAGGGAGGGGCAACAACGGAACAGGAAAGGTATCCAGGACTGATTGTACCAAAGAGGGTGCTGAGCTGCAGGAGGTGCCAACTTCTTCTATGTGAAGTCCCTGGAATCTCTATCAGCAGAGTCATGTTTCTATGGTACCGAAGTCTTCAGTTGATACTGTGGAATTTACATGTGCTTGAGGACTTTTGATTTAGAGCTCTTGGTACCAAGACTACTTGAAGCTTCTGTGGAAGCCTTTGAGGGGCATGGGGTCTTTGTTACAATGCATCTCAGAGGTATGCTCTTTGAGAAGATTCAGTACTCCTCTAGGGAGAAGTCTTTCCCCATGTCATTTGTAGGTCTCCCAGAGGCTGATGGGGAACAATGGTTGCTTGGAAACCACTGTACTGGGTGGGGTGGGGGATGTGGTCTCCAGGGCTGGATTGGACACTGGACAAAAGGAGCGTCTCATCATAAGGAGATGAAGTTAATCTCCCTGCCCCTCCTGGAGCAGCTCTTAAAACTAATGCAGATTTTGCACTTTGAAAGCAGGTGTGAATCCCTGAAGACAGAAGACAGTGCAAGTTGCCATCGCTAACTGGGAAGGACTCCCAGCAAGTGAAGCAACGTTAGAAACCTGGGGACTTAGGCATGCCCCAAAAATAAAAACAGATTTCTTCAAACAGGGGGGCGTGGAGGTAGGAGACAAAAGCCTCAACCAATGGAAAAAAGACCCCCCAAAAAGAAACACCACACTAACTAAGAGAAAAGCTATTATAAAAAGAAAATATTAAGAACAAGTACTGAGTACTATGCACATTCCATCTTTGGCCAGCATAGTTGAGAAGGAACTCAAGGCAGTTCAGCTGTCGCAGTTCTAAATACCCTCAGTACAGGGCAAGAGGATGCCTGGGGTGCATGGGCAGACCGAACGAGTACTGCTGCCAAAAAACTCTGATCGAAGGCACATGAGGTGCACGTGCACCTCAAGTGGAGCACCCACAGGGACACTACTCGAACAAGAACTAGCCACTCTTCTTAAGCTCTAAGATACCAGAAATACACACCTAGAAACAATTAGGAATATCTCCCTTGGCATCCCCACAATTTCTACCATGTGCCATGAAGCCTCATTGCATGGCACTTTTTTCTTGTTATTCATTTATACTCCTTAACCTCAGCATTTCCCTTTACAACTATGTCCAAATATTGGTAGAAAATTGGCATAATCTGCTCTGATGGATTAATTTATTGTTCCAAACTACTGCCATGTTCTTCAACATTACTAATCCTGGCTCTCTCTCATATTTATTCATTTCTATCCTTATACTATCTGATTTTTGGATAATCTCTTTGAATGTGGAATTCAACGCATAACCAGTCTACATTAAAATGTGATCCTGAAGAGGGCTCAGCTAAAGACACATACAATTTTGCTATATATTTTGGATGAAGAAAAAATAAATTATGTTCAATATTTTTAGTTTTAATCATTTAATTTATGTCCAGATTTGCTGTTCAGCTATAATGCTTCTGAAACAAATATTTTACAGCATAAAAATAAGATGCTACTGAACTCCCATGTCTCTTTTTACATGACGCAAAGGCAGCTAATGTCAGCAATAGCTTCTACTAAAGACGTATTTACTATTCATTCTGCTGTTGTTTTTATCTATATGAATCACTATTTTACTCCTACAATGTACCACTTCCAGCACATGCTATACTTATATTTCTATGAGGAAACATATTTGCTTATATAGAACTCTAGATTATATGATTTTTTTTTTTTTTTTATTAAATGTACCAGCACTGAGGTTTCCCCTCCCATTTGTAAAATACAGACATGGCCACTAGATGGCTCAAAAACATGACTTTCAATGCAATTTAGAGTTTTACCACTAGATGGTAGCTACAGATCATAAACTGATTCTGAACACCAGCTGGACAGTAAAAGTTTGTCTGATTCTCTCTCAGTTGAGCTAAAACAAGTTTAGATAATGAATGACCCCTTTGCTGTTTTACACAATTAAAACTAAAAGCGGCAAATCTGGTTTTAGGGGATCTTTGGTTTCAAAAATCACAATGTAAAGCTGGAAGCTAGTCAGTCAATCATAGGGTCTGTCTACACTGCACACTCTTTTCAGCAGCATGTACAGCACATGCACTACACGAACCCTACCAATAGCAGTGCAGATGGTAAGGCAATGCTTAGGCGAATGGAGTAAGGACACATCTGAACCCTACTCTCTCAAGCAGTGTCTCCACATCAACTCTATTTTTAGCAGTGTAGTTTCCCCAGTGCTCAAACAGCTCCCCACTGCTGAGCCTTTCCTAGCTGCCTCTCCTCACCAGGGCCTTTCACAGAAGCATGTAGCTACACAGTGCAGCGCGAACACTACCTACTTTTCACTGTGGTGTGTACCAAAACATACCTTACACACCACTGCCAGTGATGTGCAGTGTAGACATAGCAACAGAAAATGAGTTATGTCCCTCTTAGGGCAAACCACAAGAAAATGTACTGTAGGGAATAAGTCAGAATTATCTAGTTTTACATACCCCAAGGAACGGGGACAATTCTCCAAACTCTTACAGATCTCACCCTCTGGAAAGTGTGTGGTTTTTATTTCCATGCTGAAGTACGCCTTTTGTTATTTCATCCCATTTCTCTTTAACATAACCACTTGCAGAACTTTAAACCATTTCCTTCTTCCCTGTTGGTGTTTAAACCCAAGCGTTGGCTCCGCAGCTCCCATTGGCTGGGAGGTGGCACCTGCAGGCAGAGGCAGTTGCCTAGCCATGCCTTTGCCTAGGAGCAGCAGGGACAGGTAGCTGCTTACGGGGAGCTGCCCAAGGTGAGTACTGCCTGGATCCGGCACCCCCTCCCACATCCAAACTCCTTCCCTCTTAGTTAACCAGAATTTTTCCACTTACCAGCACCCCCCCATTCCCCTAACATGCCAGATAACAAAACTTTTACTGTATATTTGATAGAAAAGAAATGGTGCACAGCACACAGTTTCAGTGAATGTAAGTGCTAAGGCAGTGTTGGTGGCAATCCAAAGATTATCTGGAGACAGTGCTTTACATTATTAAACTGATCATAATTTAAAGTTATATTTTACATACCTAAGTTAGTTCAACCTGAAAAAAATTAATACTATGTAGGTCTGAACAAATCCCTCCATAGCTATTTAGTCCGTAAGCCACCCATATAAGTGTATTACAGGTAGATTTTCAGGTAGAAGAGTAATTAATCACATTTCTGCCATCCAGATTTTTTAATTCAAGTTAGTAGTTCTGCAGCTGTTAGAACTTTATGATGCAGTCCACCGTATAATCTTGATATTCCTGAGGCTATTAACTGAGGATTTGTTCAGACCTATCTGTGATAGGTGTAAGTTAGTTTTAACACCATTCTCAGAAGTGACTGAAAAAACACAACATACTTGCTTTTTCTGAGTAACAGGTACTGTTTTACATCTGTATATAAGTAAAAAGATTCCATTTGTTACAGTGTGTTCATGTAGTTTACTGTGGCTATCTTTCATATTCCGCTGTTCCAATGGAAATCTAAACTATACACCTCAAATATCTGGGATGTAAAAATAACTTACTGAAAAATGCCAACATGAAGATGCCATCATTGCCAACTCTAAGTTGATCTGCATCACTGAAGTCATCCCGAGGTGGATATTCTTCTTCCTGGATTTATAGTGAAGGAAAGTTAACTTTAGGCTAATGCATCATCTTGTAGATTTAAACTATTAATTGTGATTTTCAAAACATCAGACTCCCATTTGTTGACAGATCTACATAAATGAACCTCAAAAGAACAAACTACTATTAAATCTATTAAGCTATAGACAAATGAAGTTTATTGCTTTACTATGATAAAGCCCAGTTATCAATGAAACTCAAATGAACTTTGGAGAAAGAAACTGGAACACATACATTGGAATTGATATATTCAGTTTAAATTGAGCTACAGACCATTTGAGAGACAAAATGATGTTCAACACCTAGCAGAAAAAAATCCATCCTCAATGTAATTCCACTGTCTTCAGAAGTTGAGTTACACCATGGATGAATTTAGCCCAATGTATTTTAACATATCCTATTCATGTACTCAGTGTAAACAGAAGAAAATAATTGCAGTGTACTTGCCAACCAAATATGTAGACATAATAGCTAATATCCATTTTAATAAATGCATTAGGGCTTCCCGATGTACATTTTGGGAAATTCTAGCATGAACTACTTTTAATAAAAGCTATTTATCCTCATGTAACAGGTAATTATTTTCTTCCAACTTGAGAGGATTCCACTAAGTTGTCAAGGAATTCATATTTTGTATGTTGACTAATATTTACCATATTAGAAATACTTGACATTTTTACTAAAGTTCAAGGGATCATCACATTTTTAGAACCACAAAATTCACTGAGGTTTCTGGTTTTTGTTTTTAAGTAAAGTGTCATCTTTCAACACAACATACTTTATAAACTATACACAAGGATGTTTACTGTAGAGACATTTTTAAATAATTCCCATAGCTATGATCACCATTTTAGCTCCTTATTTCTAAACAGTTTTTATGTAACTACAGTTCAATCACATTTAAATACTGTTGGTGAAGACTGGATTTTAAGGGTCTATTGGAAGCCTCAGATCCCAGCACTAGCAAAAAGTTTGTATTTGTACAGGTTGTGACCTACAAAAATCTAAGACATAATATGTATTAAGATATTTATTTATATGCAAGAGCTAGAAAGTATTTTAATTCATCTTTTTAAAGTGATATCTTCATACAGTTTTCAGTTGTTGGGTTAGAAGAGGGACAACTTACATAAGAACATTTTACACTACCAAAGTAGACTAAACTAAGATAAGTTCCAGCTTTTAAGCTTCCAAATTTAAGTATTTGGAATAAGAAAAGTCAGTTTAATATAGCACACAGTGAAGTACCTAGTTTCTTAAGATGCTAAACTTGCAGGCTTACATAATCCCAAATATATACACACTTATTAAATAATCTAAGTTTAAATAAAATGATTTAAATATAAATGCACTATACCACTATACCATATCCAATCAAACCTAAGTAGTACACATTTTATATGAGAGCTGTCATTTTCTCTGACAAAATATTTTTCTTTTCAAGCCCTAACTACACTGCTTAGGGCTTCCCGATGTACATTTTGGGAAATTCTAGCATGAACTACTGTCATGGGCACAAAATAAGCTCCTGTTACAGTAATGATTGCCATCCTAGACAATCTCATCTGGTAGCACACTTCAAAATAATGTATCAAAGCAAATCAAAAGCTTCACTAACACGGTGCCACCAGGGGGCACAATTTAGATCTTTGCAACTCAACAGGCGCCTGCACCCAACAAGAGCCAATTACAAGTGTTAGGTTTGGGTGTGCACACTGAGGAGTGAGTGTGCTGATGAATCTGAGTGCCAGTCACTCAGTATGCCATATGGTGCAGTGAGGTGTAGATGGGCAGGAATGGGGCATACAGCTGCTGCTGCACCAACCCCATGGGCAAGAGGCAGCTAAAGTCCCCACTAGGCAGAGCCCAAAAGAAGAGATGGTAGTGCTGACAGATTCCAGGTGAGTGGGAAATCCAGGTTGGGCTTCAAAATATGGCCCTAGCAGACCTCTAGCACAACTGTAAACCAGTTCTCAGGATAAGCATCACAGTTTATTTTCTACCTTCTGTAAGAAGTCAAGTCACATACGAGGAGACACCTACAAGATAATGATCCACAAAATTCCTCAGTCATGTTAAAACACTGAAATACCTAATTCTTGCTTTGTTTTAATGATTTAAATGTCTCATCTCAATCTTCGATTTTGATAAGAGGTAAGATGTATACGTAGTTTGGCATTTGTCTTGCCTACACATAGAATTTTAGGTGTCATGATACAGTTAGAGAAAAATATATATATATTTAATTTGATAATTATGAATTTACATGGCAAAAATGCAAAGTTGTAACTAACCAAAAAATAGTGTACAACAGTCCTCTTTAAAGTACCAAAAATATAAATATTTTAAAGCCACTTCATGTAATTTTGGGCACCCAAAAACTGACCCTTTCACTGTTGTTTGATCTTATTCCAGGTCCAATCTTAAACGCTAAACTAGAAACAGCAACTTTCACACAATAAAATTCTTATCCATACATGTGAAATCTGTATTATCTGTTTAGAGGAATTTTAATAGAAGGTTTGAAAATGTGTATTTAAGATGTGTACTTAAGGCTAAGTGCATAAAAGGTGATGCAAAGCTAAAAATAATGATGCCGTTGTTTAAAAGTGGCAAGACAGGCTTCCTCTTGCTGCAAACAGCATAATGGTCAGGAGAGAAAATATAAATTCTTTTAGCTTCTTAAAGAGTCTCTCCCCCCCACCCATCAGCCCTAATTTTATATTAATATTATTTTAGTTCATCTACATTAAGGGGAAAACAGACATATACCAAACTAGCAAGATTATTTATTTGCTTATTTACTGTTTTTAGCCACAGCAAAGTATAAACGTATAATTTTACAAATGAAGTAATATTTCAGCGGGTATGACCAAAAATACGTGTACGTGTACATGTGAGAGAGATGCGCATTGCCCCTTTAGAGTGGAGTCGGCGTACTTAAGCACATTGCCTTTTTAAGTAGATCAGCAAGTTGAGACAGCCCTCGCTGCCAGCACGCTCCCTCCGTCCTGAGCCCTGTCGTGTCCCCTCCCTCCCTGCTCTATGAAAATGGGGTAAGCGAGGGGCAGGAGCAGGGGGGAAGGGGACACCCTGACATTAGCCCCGCTCTTCTCACCCCTCCCCCCCACCGCACAGCAAGCAGGAGGCTCCCAGGAGCAGCTCCAAGGCAGAGGGCAGCAGCAGCAGCACATGGCAGTGGGGGGAGGGACAGTTGAACTGCCGGAAATTGCTAGCCTGCTGGGCGGCTGCTGCACAGGGAACTTAGGGGAGCAGGGAGCTGATGGGGGGCTGCCGGTCCACCCTGATTCCAAGCCCCCACCAGCTAGCTCCAATGGGCTGCTCTTTCTGCAAGCAGTGGACAAAGTAGGCGGCTGCCAAACAACGTTATAAGGGAGCATTGTGCAACTTTAAACGAGTATGCTCCCTAACTGATCAGCAACGTAACAACATTAACCTGGAAGACTAAGTGAGGAGTTATTGTACAGAAAATCTTGTTTTGTATAGTTTTGTTTTAGATGTTTCAGTCTTTCTTGAAAAGTAAATACCCCCAGCCTCCTACTGGTGTTTTTAATGGGGTCTCTGAATTTTTTAATTTTTTGGACATGTGGTGACCTGAACTGAATCCCCATTATTGCTTAATATCTTTTTATAAAGATTTTTTTTTTAAATAGGTGGAAACTGCTACAAACACATAACGTTACATAAGAACGGCTGTACTGGGTCAGACCAAAGGTCCATCTAGCCCAATATCCTGTCTACCGACAGTGGCCAATGCCAGGTGCCCCAGAGGAAGTGAACCTAAGAGGTAATGATCAAGTGATCTCTCTCCTGCCATCCAGCTCCACCCTCTGACAAACAGAGGCAAGGGACACCATTCCTTACCCATCCTGGCTAATAGCCATTAATGGACTTAACCACCATGAATTTATCCAGTTCTCTTTTAAACGCTGTTATAGTTATGTTGATTCAACAGCATTCTATAAAAATTAAAGACCTGTCTCTGCTTCCCAACTGTAAGCCCTTGATGCCTTTAGAGCGCTAAACAAAAGCTTTAATTCACTTAACCCCTTTTATTGTATAGTTCATATAGTGGATTATGCAGCCCAAATAGGATGACCAGACAGCAAATGTGAAAAATCGGGACGGGGGTGGGGAGGTGATAGGAGCCTATATAAGAAAAAGACCCAAAAATCAGGACTGTCCCTATAAAACCGGGACACCTGGTCACTCTAAGCCCGAAAGATTCATACACATTTTTTGTAACTGTTACAGATCTTATGATATACTTGTGACTATACAACTGATTTGTTTTCTAAGACTAGAACTAAAAGATTGTTAATGCATTTTACCTCCTTAAATGTTGCAATCTGGTAAGTATCACAAATACAATAGCATATCCTGTAAACAGAAAGGCACTAACTTTCCAGCATCTTTCATTTTAGTGGCACCTGTTACTGCCACTATGAATAAGGTTCTATCATCAGCTCCATTATGAACGTTTTTCAGGGGTTTATAACTTTCTTGTAACTGAAACTTGGCATGTAGGGTCTACCCTAAGAAAAATTGGCTAGTCAATTAAGAGAGTAGAGTCTTAAGGAACCCGTTTGACAGTTAGCTGGTGCAGTTCTATATAACGCAAATGGTTTTCAGAATAAATTTTTTTAATTGTATTTATAATCCCCTGAAAAAAGGGTTGATATAAATATTAGCATAATTCAAATACAGATTCTAAAATGGCACATATTTAGCATATGCAACAATTCTGAGATTTCAATGGTGATAAGATAATTCTGAAGTGGGTAAGGGAACCCATCATTGTTTACCAGCAGGAAAATTCACAGCAATTTCTAAACTAGATAGAACTGTACCATACCTCTGGTGGACTGAGGAATATTTCATCAAACAGACTCCTAGACTCCCTAAACTGGCCGTGCTAAGCATGTAAAACAAACATAAGACAAAAGAACTAAAGAACAGTGTTAAGAGAAAGCCATTTATTACAGACAAACAAACCATTTCATTATTTTAAATATTCTGTTTTCACTTAAATGACTTTTTAAATGTCACTTAGTTTAGAATTTAAATGTATAATGAAAACCAGGAAAGTGCGATTAGAATCTTTCAAAAGGAATGAACTAACAAGGGGAAACTTGGGGCTGGAGAGGGTGGAAGCGCACATATACCGATATTATATAAAACAGATTACACACAAAAATGCTACATGAAAAACAGTAAGGTTGAAAAGTCAAGCACTCAAAAGTTAGGAAATACCATAATTAAGGTTGCCAGTGCAACATTATCATCCTTAACATGCTAAAACAGGGGTTGGCAACCTCTGGCACGTGGCTTGCCAGGTTAAAGCACCCTGGCGGGCTGGGCCGGTTTGTTTACCTGCCGCGTCCGCAGGTTCGGCCGATTGCGGCTCCCAATGGCCGCGGTTTGCCACTCCAGGCCAATGGAGGTGGCGGGAAGCCACGGCCAGCACATCCCTCAGCCTGCGCCGCTTCCCACAGCCCCCATTGGCCTGGGACGGCAAACCGTGGTCAGTGGGAGCCGCGATCGGCCGAACCTGCAGACTTGGCAGGTAAACAAACGAGCCGCATGCCAGAGGTTGCCGACCCCTGCACTAAAAGAACAAAAATATTTGTTTCAATTTGTCCATTTTTTCTTTGTCAGCAATAAAAAGCAACATACCTCTCTGACTTAAGTTACCTCTTTGCTACCATCAGAAACCAATCATAACATCACAGCACTATCCCAGGAACTGTAATTGTTAACTCAATGAATCTTCTTCCTCCCCTCCCTCCAGATATGTACTAGCTATAGAGTCAAAATCGAACAGAGAATGTGGCTTTTTAAAGTGTTTAGCGAACAGCTGTATTTCAAAGAAAAGCTCTACAGTTCTATAGCACTTCACATCTTCAGAATGCCTTGCAAATATCTAACTATATTTTAAAAGCTATTTAGCATCCAAAAGACATCAACCTTTTTTTATAATCATTGTTATCGAGTGACGTATGGGCCTAAATGCTTTTTAAAACACTACTTTAGAGTACTGTACATTATCAAAATCAACTTCGTTTACAGATTCCCTGAAAGATTTTTAGAGATATTTCACTTACTCTTTGGGCAGCTTCTGCTGCAGCAGCTGCCATTGCTGCAGCTTTGGCTTTCTCCGCTTCATCGTAAGTAGGAAGAGAGGTAGCTACACTATATGGAGGTGGTACAGGGTAAAATTCATTGTGTGTTTCTGTTTCTGTTAAAAACAAAAAATGAGTTTCATGTTTTGTATCTCAGAAAAATATCAACAAGAATCTTAAAGAATGCGCACTAAAGTAACAGCAAGGCTGGTGACATTTAAACTGTACAGTCATTAATTTCAGTCTCTTTGTTCTACAGCAACTTGACCTATAAGTGTTTACAGACATTGTGAGAAGTTTTTCGGTTTTTTATTTATTTATTTTTTTAACGAACAGGAAAGAGTGAATCACAAATTTAAAGATGCCTAGTGCTGCAGCTCAAAAGTAATTAATTTAAAGTTTGACCTAGATACTGCAAAAGGGCAAAGAGTTTTGGAACTAAGATTACATTCTGCTGAAAAGCAAATGCAAGTGTTCCACTCATATGCAAATTATTGTATCTGATGGTGGAAGAAGGTTGCAAAGAAACATCCTAAAAGAAGAGTTTCAGATTCTTTAAGAAAAAAAAAAAAGTAGTGAACTGAGGCCTCTCCTGGTCATGTCACATCTCATCAACTGCAGAGCCCTGCTGCAAACTGCAGCTGGTCTACCGAGGCAGGAAAATTGCTTATTCTTGGAATGGCTCAATTTTGCTAAGTTAGTATGTAAAGTATTGCTTTTAAAAAAGTAACATGAACAACAAATTTTGTTTTAGGACATTTTACTTATATACCAAAGTGTACAAATATTAATACATTGCAAAACCAAGCAATATTAACTAGTGTCTAGTACTTGGCTTCCCTTTATACCCCGGCATCAGCATATAACCGGATTCTGCAGCTGATTAAATGATGCCAGCAGAGGTGCTTCTTTTGCAAATACTTCATATGTGTGGACATTTATTCATGGTATTCACATGGGAAATGTATGCATTGTGGCCCTGGTCCTGCAAACCTGGGGACTATTCTGAATAAGAGCCAAAGATTGACTGTGGAGTTAAAGTACACAGAACTTCAAAAAAAAAAAAAAAAAAAATTAAGGGATATCTTGAGCTAATAATACGCTATTTGCACAGTATGGTAATTTGGGTAGTCAGCACAATTCCAAAAGTTGCCTGGGTTTTGGTTTAAAAAAAAAACCACACAAAAAAGAGAAACATACATCTGTGGGTCACCTTTAATCAAGTAAAAAAAAGAATTAAAAAAAAAAAAAAAAAAGGCGGCATCATATGCCCCCAAATCAGTAGCTGACTCACGATCTCTCTCCAACAGTAATACTACCTAGAGCTGTTATATAATAAAGGAAAAATACCTGAGGTTGCAGCTGCTTCTACAGCAATACTACAATAAGGTGGAGGAGAAACATCTGCTTCAGATAAAGCTGCTGGTTGAGAATTTTGTGCAGTCTCTGTAGAAGTGGATGGCTCCTCAACAGTTGACTCTGGAGGATCATCTTCATTGTGAAGCTTAAAAACACAAAAATTTCAAAACACATTTAGGTAATTCTTTATATACAAGTCAAATGTTGACATTAACCCCTTCAGATGTTACCAAAGAATAGAAATTTAGCACTATTTTTAGGTTATTGGAATAATTTAAAACTTCTGCTAATAAATTCAGGGACTAAGCTAATATACCCAACAGTTAAAATTTAATAGACACAAGAGACTTTTATCGAAGTACTTCTAACAGCAACCTTTCTTAAGCAATCACTTCAAAAGTACCTCAAGGTGTTCAGTACAATTCCATTCCATTTTAAAACCTCCTATGCTATCAAACTGATTCTGATGCTTAAAATGGGTTTCACTGAAACAAAAAGCGTTTTTTTAAAAAGTATTGAAGATCCTAAACCATTAAAGAATATATGGTATGTATGTGTAGATAAACAAAATGAATCCATTTAAAAACAAAACAGATGAACAACTCTTACCCTTTCACTGTATTAATCCAAAGGCAGGTAATACACCCTATTCTGTTTATAGAATTATCTGAGATTTGTACCCATGCATGTTCTGTTTTATGGTCTCCTCAACTCAAATTCTGAGACCGTCTATATTCTTATTAAAGCCCCTGCCTCTACCAATAATCTCTTTCCCCACATACTTTTATAGTAATCAGTTACGGTATTGCAGGATTTCTTTTTTTAAACTTTGTGTTTTAGAGATATTTTACAGTGAAGTATACAAGTAAACATGATCTATAGGAGAAGAATTTGGGTAGGCAAGTATACGGATTTAAAAGAAAAATAAAACAAAACCTCATTTGGCATGATGCTGCACTAACACCCTTAAGTACATAAAATCCTCATGGTTATTTGAGCCAAAACAAATAACCTTCAAAAAATGAAAATCCAATCTAACAAATTCAACAGAAAGGAGCACAAGCTATGGCAGGTAGAAAGTACCGGTATTAGGAAGGCTAAAAGATTTGAAAAGCAAAAAGCTAAGAAAAGAAAACATATGAAATTAAGCATATAAAGACTAGTGGTTTCTTTGGATTAATAGAATTAAGGAAGATAAAGACATTACAGAAAAGATAAGTTATTTCTTTACATCATGCTTCACTATAAGAGATATTGGTGAGATACCGATCTCAGTCTTACTCTGATTAAAAAAGAAAAGATAAAGTGCTATTGGAGATTGATATGTCAAAAGAGGAGGTTGTTGAATAAATCTGGTAAGGGATAAAGTCCCCAAACAGATGGCAAACATTTGGGAGGAACTTTAAAAATAAAACAGATTACCTAATATGACAGAGAGGACCGAAAAGTTGTAAATATTGTCCCAGTGCCTATCATTTTAAAAAAGGTACTAGGAAATATTGTGGGAAATGACAGACCAATAAACTTAGTTCCACTGCAGATACATTGTTTGAAAAGACAGTTACCAAGTAATTATAAAACACCTTGAGAAAAATGATATAAGAAGAAGATAGCATAGTTTCTGTAAAGGAAACAGTTTCTCTAATCTACTAGACATCTTTAAATGTTTCACAAAATAAACTGTATTTTATCTGCTATTTGGACTTTCAAAAAAGTCTTGGTCAAGAATCCCTCACAAGATGTTATTCAAGGAACTAACTATGCATCAGAGGAGAGGTAAAAATACCATCAGGAAGTGGGTAAAACAGAAAATCAGTAGGAATAAGTGATCAACTTTCATTATGACAAAGGGTTAATACTGGGGTACCACAAGGATCTGTTCCAGGACCTGTAGTATCTTATTACTGATCCAGACTAGTGGATGAATGAACATCAATGTGAAAAATATACAGATGACAAAAAATTATTTAGCTTAGTGAAGACTAGAGAAAACTCTGCGGCACTTCAGAAAAACCTAACAATTTAGGCACATGGGTAGCAAACAGACAAAATTCGATCATGACTATCAAGGCAAAGTGGAACAAAAAACAGACTGCACTAATGCAAAACTGCTGGGTTCTGAATTAACTATAAGTCTTCAATAAAACACCCAAATGTTTCTTCTGGAAACAGCTCAAGTGTTGGGATGCCGAACATAGGAAATATGTTTTATAGAAGCTGATGGTACACCTTCATTTGGAATATTATCTGCAGTTCTGGCTACCCTATCTCAAAAAAGAACAAAAATAGAAGAGATCCAAAAGAAAGATGGCAAAGAAAGAGACAAGGAAAAACTCCCATATGAAGAGACTGAAAAGACTGCAGCTGTTTAGTGTAGTGAGGAGGCATAACAGAGGTATACAAAATAATTCTTTGATCATTCAACACATTTACCTTCTCTTGTATTACAACAGCAAGGGGTCATTCTATGAAATTGAAAAACAAGTTATATAAGGCAACACTTAAATAAGCAATGCCTATGGAACTCATTGCCACAAGATATGATGGAGGCCAGAGCTTAGTATGATCAAAAAGATCAGCCAGTTATGTTGGACAGAAAAATCAGAAGGGATATAACCACCCCCACGGTCCAAGACATGAACCAATCTTTAACGGATGACTATTAGGAAGAAGTCCAAGTCTACAGGTTTTTCCATGATCCTTCACCACAGGATTTCTTGGGCCTTCTCTGAAACACCTGATGCTATCATTGGCAGACACAGTATCCTCCTGGACTAAATGATCTGATATGGTATGCCAATTCCTCTTTCTGCTACGTCACTACATTCTGATAAGCTATTTAATAGTAACATTTTCAAAAAAATACATCAGGATACTGCTTTAAAACAGTATTCTGATTTATGCCATTCCATTAGGAGAAAACAGATTTTGTTTATTTTCGCCATCATAACAAGTGAATTGCTGCCAAGCAGTTAAGAAGACTTTCTGTGCTAACCACTGTGTGTCAAGGAGTCTCCTACGACTAATTGAACAACTTGAGGAAAAACTCTCAGTTACCAGATTTTTTTCATGCATTTTAAGTACAGGTTTCGAACAGTAGTATGTTCCTCTCTTTTCATGTTTACAATTTTCTGTTAGTTAAAGGCAGCAGATAATAGAATATCTTTGTTTTCCTAACCTTAATTCAGTTTGCCATCTCTAGCACAAATCAATTTGCTTGACAGCAGTTAACTGACATTCTATGGCAGGTCACATACTTATCAAGATATCTTGCTGACTGTACAAAGCTTTACAGTTAAACAGAGCATGCCTCTATCAGCAGGTTTAGATTCCCCTTGAATTATTTATGCATGACTATATGATGCCTGATTTCCCATCCCCCTTTCAAAGCTGCCACACGCTGCCGGCTCAGGAGGCATCAAGGTCACATTACATGAACTAAATTCTTTGGATTGCTAAATGGATCTTGAGTTAGGTATAACAATGATTCTTCTGAAATCAAAGGTTCAGAGACATATGGAGATCACTGGAGAACAAACAATACAGTCCAAATCATTCATTTCTATCACACACAATTTTTAAACACAAATAGTTTGTTTCTGAATAATTGTAAGTTGTGTTATAAAGAATGTGCATCTCAGACAACTTAAAATTATCAGCCATACTCAATTCCAGGACAGGCTGTTTTTTCAGTGGCAGAATCTGCAATTGGTTCAGTTCTGTTCAATCTTTTAGGATGAAAGGCAGTATATAAAATGCATGATAGGACTATTACCTGTGATTTTCACACTTCACTTCTGATTACCATAACCATGTGTCTTTAAAAAGACAACACTGCATCTCCTTCTATAGTTTATTCCGAACTGAAGTACTCATTTTCTATTTGTGACACATCACTTCCACAGCAACCAGATGTGATGTCAAATGATGTACGACTTCAAATAGAACATTAAACTCACAATATGGCATCTGCTTACTCCTGCAAAAGTCTTCGGAGTGGGGGGTGAAGGAAGAAGAGGAAATGGCTGCAGGTGGCCTGCTTTCCCTTCTCTCCCGCCCCCCCCCCCGCCCCATTATATTTCTAAATCTAAATACAAACCAAAAAAATCTATATCATATACTCTGTCTATACCTTTCATTTTACCTTCAGAAGGTTTTGTGTGTTTTGCATAAATCTTATTACTTGCGTAAGTTGAGTCTGCCTCTCCTCTGTTGTAATGCTGACTTACTGCTGAAAGAACAACAACGCAGTTGAATAAGGATCTCATTCAAATATGTCGAATTCTCAGCTTGTTGAGATAGTGGTGACATTTTGCTGATCTCTTTAAGCACAGTTACATCCCATGACAGTCAAAAATGCAAAGAAACTATACGAGAGAATTGCACATATCCTGTGACACATTCAGCCCAGTTCATCCCTGTTGTTACTTCACTAGAGCTGGCAGTTACTACAGAGATGAATTTCGTCATTGACATTTATTGGTTTCCAGTCACTTAACATATTTTTGCTATCTTCATAACTAATCATGCAGCCATACAGGATGTGGTTGTCACTTGTCAACCCTTTCCTCAAACTATCTGCTTCTATGTGATTTCAAACATTATTTTGTTGTTGTCATAATGTAATACTGTATTTTACCACCTTTGCTAATCTCATGGAGTAGTGGCTTAAAACTGGATTGGCCAACTCTTGGTGCATTTCGGCCACAATGAACTACTAAATACAAACAATTAAAAATAAGATACGGATAATGAGACTATCCTGTTACACTAGATAAATTTTATCCTAAGGGATACTGTGCCATATAACAGTACCAACGACCTTCACATAGGAAATGCTTTACAAGAAATAATTCTCTTTCAAGACAGTCACCACAAAACAGTCTTTCCGAGAGTCTTTTGGGGCTCTTCGGTCTAGCAGACAAAAGGTTTAATAAGATCTAATGGCTGGAAGTTGAAACTACATAAATTGAGACTAGAAATAAGGTGTACATTTTTAACAGTGAGAATAGTTAGCCACAAACAGTTTACTGATTCTCCATCACTGGCAACTTTTAAGTCAAGAATGTATTTGTTTTCAAGAGAGATATTTTAGTTCAAATAGGAAGTAATTCAGGGAGTTCTATGGCCTGTGTTATACAAGAG